GGTACCTGAAATGCATGTATTTACTATAAGGAAGCAAATAATATGCTTGTTTTATCTGTTTATAGCTGTTTTTAATTATGAGATTTCAGTTTTTGTAGTTTGTTCCACTCCATTGCATCATGAATGCACTCATATATTTTATACACATCTGTTGTGGAAAAGCTACAAGGCCATGGTGGCACACCTTTGGAATCAATATTTGCTTTGTATGACTGATGTGTGTAATTATGCAGAGCTTGTGTGGTCATGCTAGTCCAGTTGAATCTGTTGCTTTTGATTCGGCAGAGGCTTTGGCATTGGCTGGAGCTTCTGCTGGTGTGATGAAGCTGTGGGATTTGGAAGAAACAAAGAGTAAGTTGATTTGTTCTTCATGGCTTAGACAAAAAATTAGATTCCTAGATTCGATGCTCTGTTATGTGGTTCTGTGTCTGCTAAGTCACAAAAGAGATGCAGAATAAGTTGGAACTCTTTAGTCTTTATATCTTTAATCTGGTATTATAGTACCGAATCCAAATTCTTATTTGTATAGCATGGAATTGGGTTTCCACTACATACTGTTACCTTGTGTTATGAAACATTGGGCCTTTGCTTTGTTATTACAATACAAACTGTAAGGTATATAGGCACTTTGACTCCTAATCTAGTTATTATTCTTGAAGTGCAGTGGTGCGCACTCTTAATGGACACAGATCCCATTGTACTGCCGTTGAATTCCACCCATTTGGTGAGTTTTTTGCATCTGGTTCCATGGACACTAATCTAAAGATCTGGGACATCAGAAAGAAAGGATGCATTCACACCTATAAGGGTCATACTCGAGGAATAAGTACTATAAGATTCACTCCTGATGGTCGCTGGGTAGTTTCTGGTGGATATGATAATGTTGTAAAGGTAATACCAGGCTTGCTATTAGCAGTTCAGCGTGATTTTTAAACTTTGGTCTTGAACCCCTCTTAATGTTTGACAGGTCTGGGACCTAACTGCTGGGAAGCTCCTGCATGATTTCAAGTTCCATGAAGGACATATTCGATCTATGGATTTTCATCCCCTTGAGTTTCTTCTGGCAACAGGTGCGTATGTGAGTTATGTGACATCTGCACATCATTTCATCATCGCACTTTCACCTCCGTTTGGTCTTTTGTGCCTTATTTGATATTCCTTCCTCGTACTTTCTGTATGAATACTATATTACTATTTGTAATGCTGAAGCCCTAAGACTGACAATCTCGCGATTTATATTTCTGCGATGATATCACAATAACTAGTTAATTATAAAAGAAAGTGAAACAAAAACCAATGCATCCAGGTTCTGGGATTCCTCACATGATGCACCATATAGGGGCTTATCCAGACCTGTATTTCTAAATGAGGATCTTCACAGATGGTTGGACTTAAATTTCAAGGAAACCAAATATTCTATTTGGAAGCCTAAGTCATGCAAGTTAGACATTAATCACAAGTGAATCAATGAATAAAAACATTTCTTGCTGAGTGGTGAAGGTTAACTTGAAGGATGCGGTGGATATTTAGGATTTGTGCCTGAGTTTGGTGGTTTCTGCTACTTTTTCTTGGTTTGGAAGAAGATAGAATGCTGTTGCATCGCGGTAATAATGACTGATTTAACTGAGTGACGGCAGTAAAGTTATCGAAATCTATAATGAGTAATATGGTTGTAAAGTTTGATTCTATATATGCACGAATGTCATTCTATTTTCTTAGAAATAGAGCTGATGATTGGATCCCTATTTGGTAAGTTTTCCTATTCTATCAAAGTGCTTTATATATTGAATTTCGTGCCAAATTTGCCCTTTGGGTTGGCTTGTCCTCCTCACTAGCTTTCTGTGGTAGTTTGAAGTAACCATCAAATGTAATATTCCAGGTTCAGCTGACAGAACTGTGAAATTTTGGGATTTGGAAACCTTTGAACTAATCGGATCTGCCAAAACTGAGGTATATACAACTATTGTGTTTCCCACCTCTTAATTATCAATTCTTGACATTGAAATGCAAATGTGGCTGATTTTGGTATGCTGCCTACTGGCTAATATATAGGTTGTGCTATTGACAATAATTATAAAGGTTTCCTTAATTTATATGCCAAATCTGCTTTTCTAAGCAATAGGAAGCAGGGAAAAAAGGCTGTTGGCTGAAATTACTTTGCAAAATTGCTAGATACAAGGTGGATTCTCCTGCATATTTCTCCTTCCAAGTGATGCAAAAGCCTCTAAAAGGATCTCTTCTTAGCGGCAAAGCGAAAACAATTCTTTCATCATGTTTGTCATGTGTCTCACACTTTTGTCCCCAATCCCCTCATCTAAAAAATAAACACAAAAACATGGACAAGTAGAAACTCTTACACAGACATTGTTCTTCGTAAGTTGGATACTGGTTTGTCTCTCCTTTTAGTAGAAGAAAACTTTCTTTTTGTGAGTATCCAAAATATATGTGCCACAATCCAAGCAAAGTTACTTGTATGTCTTTCAGGCAACAGGAGTACGATCAATTACCTTTCATCCTGATGGGAGAACCCTGTTTTGTGGATTGGATGATAGTTTGAAGGTGTCTTACTTCTCTGTTTGGAAATTCTATAAGCTTCTTGCTTGAAAAGAATATAGTCTTTACATGTCCATGCCCCTTGACTTCAGTTTATTCGTGGGAACCTGTGATATGCCATGATGCTGTTGATATGGGATGGTCAACACTGGGTGATACTTGTATCCATGATGGAAAACTTTTGGGTTGCTCATATTATAGGAACTCTGTTGGAGTTTGGGTGGCTGATGTCATGGTAGATAGTCTAGTTAACTTCTATCAGCCTTTTCTTTTTGCATTCTTGGTTTCATTTCCTTTTTTTCCTTGTTGTCCTCTCTTGATTTCCTGTATTTTATCTTCCGGTGTCAGCATATTGAGCCATATGGTGGTGGTTTAGTACCTGACAAAAGTATCCACTCAGAGCAGAAATATGATCTCCAGGAAAGCCCTTTGGATAAAATAGGGGGCCACAGAAGGTCTACTTCAAATTTGCGCTGCATATCTCCCGATTATGAGACTAAAGAGATAAAGAATATATATGTGGACAGTAAGTTGTTATCTTTGTTTGTATCATTTATAAGTTGTAAACATATTGGAACTTACCTAATTTGGCAACTCTTTTAAATACCAACATTTGTTTTGTATCCTGAACCTCTTGTCAATGTAGTCGACAACCAGAGGTTAGCAACTGGATGGTTTCGTCTTGTTTTCTGTTATATGCCACAGATCCCCCCCCCTCCCCCCCCCAAAAAAAAAAAAACACACACACACACAGAGGGAGAGAGAGAATGATATTGTACGATGGATTATTCTGTTCATAACAATGTTGGAATAAGTTTTCAGTTCTTTTGTTTAGGATCTTCCTTCTCTTTTATTACATTCTTTGTTGTTTCTCCCCTGATGTTTGCCTCTGGATTTCTGATGACTTGAGGTGAACTTGATTTGTATTTACTATTTAGGTGGTCGGTTAACCTTGATTGATCTGGTTTTGGATCAGTCAAGACAGTTGTAGGCCTGTTTGGCTGGGCAATAGTATTCTATGGCCAGAATGTAAATCACCAAGCTAGCCTAACCTGGAGGATTATTCTAGTCTTAACTGAATTTAGGCCAATCTGAGCTAATCTTTAGGCCTATCCAGGATAAAAAAATTGTGAAGTGATTTTGGGCAGATGAAAGTCAGACAAGATGATTTTTCCTTTGGTGAATGGATAATTGCTCAATATGGGATCTTGTTAGATGCACACCTCTCTGCCCTGAGCATTATTAACCAATTATCTATGTTTAGTTTATTGGTGCATGTCTTTTTCACCCTTATTTTCCACTTTTGCTAATAATTTGGGTTTCATGTAAAGCCACAGGTCGAAATCCTGTTGCAAGAAAATCTGGATCTTTTACTTCTCCAAAGGTTGTCCTCCCATCCGATTTGAAGGACATGAATGATCTGACAAGTCAGAAGCAAAGTCCTGCAGTTGGCTTACGTGCAAAAATTACCGGGCAAGCCAATAGTAAATCCTTCATAATTCCCAACGTGGTACCTCGGGACATCCCTGAAGGAAGAGACTCGACAAATTCTAGAAGAGAATCTATTGTTTCTGTAAGAGCCAGCACTGGAATGCCACTCAAGCCAACTCATAGACGAAGGCCATCAAATACCAAAATTGGGATGGACAGGGTGTCAACCGCTGTTGAATCTGGGTCTTTTGACGATAAGATGAGTACTTCAGACATTATGGATCAGAACTTTCGTAGCAGGCTAGGTGACGACGCTAGAGAATCTTCTGAGGAAAAACATTCGAATATGAAGAATGTTGCAGAGAAATTTGAAACAATTTCCTCACCGAAGACACCCTTTAATCCTGAGATCTGTTAAGTTTTTGTTCTGCCGCCAAAATGCTATCTTGTGCATGCCATTTTATGGGGTTCTATCTGCGTGCATTTATGAAATATATTTGCATACGTGCGCATTATGGTTGTATATCTGTGTTTCTCCTTTTGTTTTGATTTCTAAAAAGAGTTTTCACCTGTCTAATCCCTTCTTTGTTTGCTGACTTTTCTTGCCTGAATTGTTTTTCAGCTCATCACTCTGATTAATAAACCCTTATGCTATCAATTCGGAGTCAGATATAAATCCAGTTTCTCAATTCTGCTTTATTTTGAGCCTAATTTGTTAAATAACACAAAAATGATTGATAGCATCTCAAGCAAACTTATCACTTTTAATGGACATTTTCATTGGTCCTTAATGCAGAGTACCATCTCATGGTCTTCTTATTCGTACCTCCTTTTCCTTCTTGTCAAATTTTTCCTCTTTTATTAAACCCTATTCATCTAACCGCTCTTCAATCCTATGTGCTAGTTATGTCTGCGATAAGTTTTATGAATGCCATGGTTCTTGACCAGCCCAATCAGTCTGACAGTGGGTAAGAATTGGCATACATATGGAAGGGTAGACGGGTTAGAGGTTTGGTTCTTAGGATTGACTAAAAAAAAGGATTATATCACTTCTTGACTGCCCAACATTATTGTACTGTAACTTATGATTGTTCTTATAAGTGTCGGGTATGATTCATACGAAGAAAAGGAATTTGGGAAATACAAGTCGAATCTTTAAGGATGTGTGCATTTTGGGCCACGTATGATTCCATTTTCAGAAATCTATTAACTCTATACTAATAAAGAGGAGGGCGGTGGGATGTAAGATGCTATCAAAATTTATTTTCCAGAGACCTTTTTTTCCTAAAGCATTGTCCCCCTTACTTAATTTTCTATCCTCTAGAAAACAAGAAAAGATTTAAAACTTATTAAACCAATCCCCACCCCACCCCCCCCCCCAAAAAAAAAAAAAAAAGCAGGGCCGCCGCTCAAAAAATTTCTCCCTCCCCAAGCTGTTTTTTCCCTGGTAAGATCCTTGCGAAGTTTTGCATCTCCCAGTCTTTGAAGTTTTATAGTTCTCTGAATTTCAATTCATAATGCCTTCAGCATAGTTCTTTGTTTTGACTTATTCATGCTAAAGTTTATACCCTGCGTACCTTCATTATTTCTATGGCTGGATTAGCCTATTATCTATTATAAATCGGACCAGGATTCTCGTTTCTTTGTCTTGTGATTGTCTCCATTTAAAATCTTTATTGATGGTTCTGATGGATGGGATTCTGTATATAGGTACTTACAAATGCATTTGTCTTTTTTGCTTATAAAAGTGTGTTTTCCATATTTTTCAGGTGTTGGGACCGTTGATTGCAGCAAAGCAATGGACTCTGTGAAAATAGTGAATGGAGGTTGGTATGAGAAGCTAAATTTAGTTTAAAGGACACTCTGGATCAGTTCTGACTGTCAGTGCTCACATTTTGGCAGTGGCAATTTTGCAAGGACGAACACGCAGTCTGGTTCAGAGGTTTGAGGGGAGAGAAAGATTGAGCAGCGATGAAGTTGAGACACCTGATCTGACCCCTCACAAAATACCAGAGCCAACTATGACATCCCCTTTGCTGGTACTTTCTAGGCCCCATAGTAATTTCTTGTCATGATGTTACGTTTAAAGGAATATTTAACTGTTGCTATATATTTCTAAATAAATACAGAAAGATGGCATCACGGGATGGGCATGGAAATATACTATCTCATGATATAACATTGATATGTGCGCAATAAATATACTTTGGCTTATATATTTTCCTGCCCTTGTGATTTCTGTTTGCATTGCTTGTTTTAATTTAGCAATTCACAGCAGGCCTTCATGACAAATAGTTATTTCTGAAGTATGTGCTGTAAGAGGGAAAAAAAAAAGGGGGCCCTCTAAGCATATTCACCAGAAGTTAGTCCATTACAACTTGTGCTTGGTCTTATGCTGGACATGTTTGGCATTATTCAAAGTGGATCTGAACCATGCTGGTCTTCGAGTCTTGCCTGACGCAAGCACATTCATTTTAGCAGAATGTTTGTGCCGAGTTTTATTGGTTTTAAAATGTGTGAACTGTAATACCTAAAAAAATGTGTGAACTGTAAGTGATCTGAAGACTGAACACCACTAACTTTCGCATTTACCACAAAGTCCATGGAGACATGTCTAGTGTGTTAAAGTTAATGCATGCATATATACTCATCTTGATAGACTTAAAGGAGCAATACTTGAGAAAACCTTTAAACTTCATTTGAGTTTGTGAAAAGAATTTTTGAGAATGTTGAAAATTTGGTAACTGAAAATATAGATGACTTAAATCGGAAGGTAATATAGAATGACTTGAAGTGGAAAAAAATCTCTTTTTGTGGAATATACTGTCTAAATACAATCATTTACTACTGATGACATCATCATTATTTACCAATTTCACTTATTGATTATCTCTCAAATCATCATAAGTGATCTTGCTGCTTCAGGATAGGCTTCTCTTTCTCAAAAGTAAACATATCATCACATTTGATAGAATAAACTCTGCCAACATTCAACATTATTTAACTGTCTAAAGACAATCATTTACTACTGCTGACGTCATCATTATTTACCAATTTCACTTGTTGGTTATTTCTAAAATCATCATAAGTGATCTTGCTGCTTCATGATAGGCTTTTCTTTCTCAAAAGTAAAAATTTTGTCACATTTGATAGAATAAACTCTGCCAACATTCAACATTATTTAACACCTTACAGAATACCCACCCGCAAAGTACAGAAATGGAGTCTACTGCTGCAAATGATGATGATGATGCTATTGAAGGTTTAATGCGAAATCATGATGTATTCTTAAGTACTGTACGTTCACGCCTGACAAAACTACAAGTAAGCTTTGCTGATAAATGTATAGGTTTTTAATTGATTCTTCGACTCAGGTATATTGAAAGTTCTTCTGGTCTTAGTTTGTCCAGCTTGGCGTGGGCCAGTTTATCTGTAACACAAGTGACCTTTGGAAGCCTTAAATATTCACCTTTCTGAACAGTTTGCAATCTAGAATGCTTTTGACCATGGTATTTCTAGATATTCATAGATGCTTTGGGCATTGTATGTTTGGCAAACTAATTCCACAGAATGGATGAGGTTGCTTGGATCCGTTTTTAGGAAGTAAATGTTCTAAGTTTGAATTTTCTTCCTTGGTGCCATTCCCCAAGATTATCACTAGCATTGTGCAATAAAAAAGGGATGAGCTAATGGGGGGATTGCATGCTATGGAGCGCTAGTTGGGCATTGTAAGAGGCCCACATACCTCCTTGTTAACACCCCCACCCCCAGAAAAAAGACAATGATCCATTTTGATTTTTTATTTTTACGCCCTCTTATGTCAAAATTGTTAAGAGAGTTTGTATCTCATATCGAATAATCATATCGAATAATTAGGACCACAATGGTTGGTTTATATACTTGAGGGGCCGCTTCATCCATTGTTAATTGGTTTTGAGTTTGATACTCTAACATGATATTAGAGCTGGGCCTTGAGTGGTTAGTGGGTCAAGTCTCTTACCCATTTGAATTTCTTGGTATGCGTTGTTATTTGTTTGTTGATCCACGTGTGAGCCCGGTCGCACGTGGAGGGTGTTAAAAGAGCTTGTATCCCACATCAAATAATTAGGACCACCAAGGTTGGCTTATATACTTGAGGGGTCATTTCATCCATTGCCAATTGGTTTTGGGTTAGATGCTCTAACATAAACTAAGTCCTAAAATTTGTAGTGCATAGAGTAATGGATAATATTTGTTCTGATGACCTTGCAGGTGCTGCAGCATTTTTGGGAACGGAATGACATTAAGGGTGCTATAATGGCCATGCGGAAGTTGCCTGATCATTCTGTGGGTATTTATGGAAGGATTTTAAGTCTGTTGCTTTTCTGTTTCCGATGGTTGCCATCAGTAATCAGTTATCCTGCATTTCTAATTTTCTTAAGATCATTCCTTGTTGGTGCAGGTACAAGCAGATATTGTAGGTGTTCTCATGGAGAAAATGGAGATTGTCACCTTAGATTTGTTTTCTTGCTTGCTGCCTGTTCTGTTGGGCTTATTGGATAGCATGATAGAAAGGTAACTATATTATAACTTAGTAGCAAAATTTGAGTAGAATGCATGGACCAGGGATGTCACATTGTCTAGGTATGGTCTTTACCATTCACATGGGTTACTTTCCTCCAAGTATAGGTGGCTACACATGGACTGACCTGTGCTAACACTATCCTGGTTGTTAAGGAAACAAATGAGCTTATAGCCTAATAGTATCTTAGAGCTCTAGTAGTATTTAGTAATATGTTTTGGTATGTTAGTATTTCTGCCTGAATTTAATCTGGTTTGAGCTTCCAAACCTGGCCCATTGGCCACATTTTCTTGGAACAGCTTGGATCATCTCCGTGCCCCAGTGTATAACGTTTTTCATTCCTCTTAGGCACTAACCCCCTCCCCCCCCCTCTTTTCTTTCTTTCTTTCTCAAAAGAAGAAAGAGAATAAAAAACAAAGAAAAAGCAGATTGCGGAGTTGCACATTAAAAAAAAATTGAGGATATCTTATTCTGTTCTGAATGGTTGAAATTGTGCCAAAATGGACTATTTTTTTTTCTTGTAAGAAGCAAATGCATTGAGATTTTTATCTTCCTTTTCTCCAAGTGGGAATGGGAAGAGGGAGGAAAATGACTGCTCCTGAGCTCATCTTCTGCCTTACGATGGCTTATTAGCTTGCATCAGATTTATTGGATGGATCATTATGGATATCTGGTTTACATTGCATGCAGGCATGCCAGTGTTTCCCTGGAGATACTACTGAAGCTTGTAGCAGTCTTTGGGCCTTTGGTCTACTCAACCATATCAGCACCTCCAGCTGTTGGTGTCAATCTTCAGGCAGAACAAAGGTATCATTTGTCCACATTTATGAGGACATTTTTGATGACCCTTTTCCTTATCTTTATCTGTTTGGTATTTGTTTTGGGTGGTGTAATGGTTGCGTTCACACGATGTCCAATTGCATTGCTTTCTAACTCATATTGAAGCAAATTTGATCACAGACTTGAATGCTGCAATCAATGCTTCATCCAGCTTCAAAAGATACAGAAAATTCTTCCGGCACTTGCAAGGTAACCGTTGTCATAACTCGACTGCCAGAGAACTTAGGCTGAACATAATGGCTACTTTCTTTGTAATGAAAGGCAAGGATCATGTAGTTAGGCACTTCCATTTATATACATGTCCTTACTTTTGGAACAAAGATGCATTGCATTCTCGTATTCATGCTGGTGAAAATTCTTCCTTGGAAGAGAAGGGCAGGGGTGAGGTTTTGAATCATTCTTTATTGTTGCACGGCTTAACCCCTAATTTTAGCCACCTCTGCCAAAGTGATCAGACTTTCCACCACTCAAGCAAGCCAACACTAAATGCCTTCTCCTCTTTGGTGGCAAGATGGAAGAGTGGCCTTAGCCCCATGGTAGGCTAGTAGTGATGTCATGGCTTAAGGCAGATTTTATCCAGTGTCCCGTGATGCGTGCTGCTGTTAACAGCACGCGTCCAACTCTAAGGGTGACCTTAGGCTACATATGGTAGGAAGCATAAAAATTTGGAGTTATAGAATGAAAAGGAAAGGGTGATACATTTCATCTGTTCAGTAAAGGAAAATGTTGTTCTCTGCAGCTGTTCAGTTGAGTTTGAGGGTGAGGAGAAAGGCAAGGTTGATATTTTAATTTACCATTATCAACCTTAGATATTAGCAGAGGGAAGTTGTTTGGTGCAGAAAATATGAAGGTTCACATCTATTTTTTCCTCCTTCATGTCCATTTTAGGATGGATAAAAATTGCTGGGCTTGAAGGAATTTGCTTCCCTTCTTTTTTTCCAATACTCTTCCCCTTTCTTTCTGACCAAGTAGTCGAAGGTCCCTCTTGTTTGCCTTCCCCCACAGCTTCCACTTCTTTCTTAGAGTACTATTTCACATAATGAGGGTTTACAGTTTCCATGTTGTTTGCCTTTTACTCGTGTCTAAAGCTAATCTTCCATCTGTTGTCATCGTTGCAATGAAACTTTGGGCCCGTGGATCAATTGGTTTCATATTGATGTGCATCCAATTGAAGTAGGTCTAGTATGTTGTAATGTTGGTTTACAAAGGTATCTTGGTTATTCTTTTCAGTCATCCTGCAAATTTGCCTAAGAAGATTCATAGGTGTCTTATTAATAGTTTTATTCCATCTCTTTTGCCCATTTCAATAATGAATGGTTACTTGCTAAGTAGTAGTACAGATGGTTAATTGTTATATAGTGTTATTATTCCCCTTTTTTTGCCTCGAATACTGAGTGCGATTCTGGAGCAAAACTTTTAATTTTTTCCCTTTTTTTTTTCTCCGTGTTATTGATCTTGCTGCAGGAAGGGTGGGTTGCTAGCAACATGCGCTCAAGAACTAAATCTAGTTCTTCAGGAATCATAATCCTCCTCACCATGTCCACCGAAGTACCATCTACAACTTGGCTGTTACCCTTCAACAAGATTCTTTTAAGCGACCGCCCTTATTTCACATAAAGAATATCACAATTTTGCCGTGCTTGTTTCTACTTTTCGCTACAATCTGCTACTCTTTTCGGTAGCCAAGCAGTTTGGCTCGAGGGTACTTGCAAAGTGAAGCGAAGAGTACTGCTAGTTCCAGTTGCCACTGCAACTGGTTTGAGAAGGAAGATTTGTCTCCCAGCACTATGACCATTTTCATGGTGCGTTCTTCTTCCTGTGTCTCTGGATATAATCATATGATTACATAATCTTTGTGACTATATCTGTATGTAATTATGTATGAATCATGGACATTGCCCTTATAAAAGTCACCTGAGTTGTATACATGCTTATGCAATGTTAATGCAATGTAAGCTTCTTAGGTTTGTTCATTTCTTGCTTTACGTTTGGAGGTCGATATGTTCGTTTTTTTAAAAGTAATGCTACATAGACTTAGAATGTTGACTCGATTAATCTCCGTTATTGATATAACTGTGGGTCACAATATTTTTTGGGATTAATTATCTATTCAATAATTGTGATTGATTAAATCAACATTTTAAGTTCATGTAACATTTTCTTTTTCTTAATCGGGGTAGCTAGGGAGTTCTTAGTGGTTATTACCTGGGGTTTCAAGGTAAAGTTTCAAAAGAGGCATTTTTGTGGATTTGATATATTTGGTTTGCTGGTGATTGTGTATATCTCGAGTTTATGTCGTATTCGGGATTGGGAGTGTAAATGATGGTGATTGGAATGGCATGATTGAATGCCCGCCTTCTTTGCTGTGGGACTATTTATCGAGCCAAAATGAAGGTTCAGTTTCCTATTGGATTGTCGGGTTTTCGAGTCAGCTTGGGGCCATGGGCCGAATGCCGAGCCTTAAAGCACAAATATTTGTAGTCAGGCAAACGTTTATTTGCATTCACAAAAGTCTCTCTCTCTCTCTCTCTCTCCAAACTAACAATGCCATCATAGATGATCTAACCAACCATTTATGATAGGTGTTAGAATGTGTGATTCATATTTGTTGTGTGCATAATAGTAAGGAGGCAGATGCCGGAGTGGGATTGATATATTTTATGTATGGGGGAATGTTGATTAGTTGGGGGTGCGGGAACAACTCCCCCGCGGTACAGTACAAGGGTATTTTGTAAATACGTCCATACTACGGTTATATAAATATTTAAGATGTAACCCTGTTTTGGATAATAGAAAAAGAACGGCTGCTCGCTCTGTGGGTGTAGGCACATTGTCGAATCACGTAAATCTCTGTGTTATTTTTTCTTTTTTTTCTTAATTGATTGATTCCGTATTATTCATTATAATTGTTGCACGATCACAACAATAGGGGTGCAACTTGAGGGGATCAACTCGAATTCAACCCAAAAAAAAGGGTTTGACCTAGAATTTTTAATACTTGGGTTGGATTTGGGTAAAATTTTTTTAACTCGAATTAAATTTGGACAAGCCTTAAATTGTCGGGTTTAATTCAAATGTATATAAATATATTTAATTAGGATTAATATTTATCTTCACTTTTTAGAGTTTAAACTTTCACTTCACTTTAAGTCTTTACCTTTGTGCCTCAATCACTCTCAAATTCCTCTCTCACACGTCATTTTTTCCTCTTTCAACCTCCCTCTCTTAATCATTATTCGTCTGAGTCATCTCAAATTCTCAACTTCTCAACTTCTCAACTCCTCTCTCTTACTTGTCACTCCTCCTTCTCTTACTCTCTCTTTTTTCATCTGCACCTTGCCATTCATTTCAGATACACTTGAGTCAGTATCTATGACTCTAACCCAATATTTTGTAGCGGGTAGAAACCTCAAGGTAATGTCTTGAAGGGGTTGTTATGTCTGTTTGCCTCTGACCATCCTTTCAAATTTTCAAAAGAAAAATAGCTTGTCAAATTGTGCAATTTATTCTTTTAGGAATTCTTAAATTATATTTTAAATCGATTTATGACATATCAAGAATGAGATTTGGGTTTAATTATTCTTTGAATCTAATCTGAAAGTAGCATGATAGATGTATTCATTTGATATCTGTTCAATGAATGCAACCATTCACTTGTCGAAACTCAACTACATAGAGTGGTATATGTAATATAACCATATAGAATTTAGGGTTGAGGGTTCTCAAACCAACTTGTCAATCCAACACAAAATTCGTGTGTATGAGTTTAATTTTAATGAATTTGATTTATAACTAGTTAACCTAACTGACATATTTAATAAGGAGATCGATTCGAATTTACATATATGTGATTTATATATGACATCGTAAAACCTTTATATATTTATATAATAAAGTAGTTTACAATTCAAATTTAAAAAGATAAACAAAATTACTTTTGCTTTTTGCGGTTCAGATTGTTTTAAATTTTACTTTAAAGTTAATCTAATGGCTAATATTAACACTCTAAAAGTAATAGGAAAAAAAGGATACTAAGGGTGTGTCTGGAGTAACTTTTTAAAAGTACTTTTAAGAATTATTTCTCATAAATATTTTTAAAAAAATAGTGTTTGAAACCGCCCCACCACTATCTCTATCGCCAACCATCGCCACCGCCACCACCACTGCCGTCGCAGCACCCCCATCCCCACCACTCTCGCCTTGCCACAACCACCACCACCACCACCACCACCACCACCACCGCCTCCACCCTACCACCACCACGACCGTCACCGTCATCACAGTCGCCGTCGCCGCCACCATCATCATCGTCGTTGTTGTCACTGTCGCCACCTCATCACCACCGTCGTTGTCGCCACCCCGCCACCGCCACTGCCACTGCCGTCGCCGTCGCAGTTGCCAACACCACTGCCACCACAGTCATTGAACCTACCACAACCATCACTGTTTCCTACCATCACCACTGCTACCCATCACCTCTTACCCCCACTACAATCAATGTTTAAATTCATTTATCTCTCTTCTATGTTTGTGATTTAATTTTGGATATGAATATAAATATGTTTATTGTTTACTATTTTTTATTACTTTGTGTTTTCAAGTACATGCAATAACTAGTCTTACTATATCGTATGTGCATTGATTCAATTTTAACACGATCGAAATTTGACACAATATTTAATCAAGATTGTTCGAATAAGAACACTTCAAGAGTATACACACACACATGTAATTTGGGCATTTACGATTTATAGAAGCAAAAAAATGATATAATGTTAGGAGATAGGGGAGCGTAGTAATACAAGGCTCACTATATATATTTGGAATTTATATCTACCTAAAAACTTAAATTTATAGGTAATGAACTCATACATAGTATATTAGAACTTTATAAGCACCTTGTTCAATCACTTTTTACAAGAGCTCACTCTTCTAACAACAAAGACGTGTTTGCTCTTGGCCCGCGTTTCACTTGTTCAGAGGTAGAAAAACTTAGTAATATAAGGGTCAATATATATATATATATATATATATATATATATATATATATACACACACACACTAATGATGGGGACAGAATCAGAATATTTCCTTTCAAGGGGCCAAAGAGTAGCATAGTCGATAGTTTTAATTATCATGCATGTAGAAACAACACAACTTATACGATAGAATAGAGACTACTCTATTGACATTATGGGATATATAATAGAGACAACCCTAATGACATTGTAATCCAACACAAAAATTGATTCGAATTGATTTGATGTGAGTTTAGTTTTAATTTGATCAATTTGTATTTGTTTAATTTGTCAAACTCGATTAGGTACGCATGAAATTAATTTTAGTAGTACACAATTCGAATCCAACGAAACAACGTAACTTCTACAACTTAAATGCCCAACACACAAGCAAGACTTATCAAAATCTCCCTAACTTATTGTCACACCTGACCTTGATTCTTCTTCAATGCTCATAAGCTGTAATCCATAATTTTTTTTTTTTTTAAAACATTTGTTTTGGAAAGGGAGGGGCATAAACTATTGACCTCAAGATGATAAAATTTTCACTATATATGGAATACCATTGAATCAAAGGCAATTTGATTACACACAATCTTTGGACTTGAACTGCGGTACTTTAAAAAAAATAGTAAATTTTATTATTTTAATGAGTGTTTTTACAATTTTTGTTGGTCATTTTACAACCAAAAAGTTTATCTTTTTTGTGAGTTATTTATCATTGTTGTGAGTGTTTTTACCACTATGGTGGTAATTATTTTTATCACCTTTCTTCGATATAAAAAAAATTACCATTTTTATGAGTGATTTACCACATTTATAGATATTTTTATCATTATTTTTGTAATTATTTTTACCCTTTTTTTCGGTATTACAACAGTGATAAAAATAACTATAGCCGTCGTAAAAATATTCATAAATATGATAAATATTGGTACGATACCAATTTTTTTTTTTTTTGGGTACATAAACAACTCCACAATCTTGGTCAGTCCTTTTACTATCTTATCTATACTTATTAACTACATAATTACTGATAAAAATACCATTGGATTACATGAGGACTAAAAAGAAAAGAAGAGCTTTTATTGAGGGTAAATGCAATTTTTCTTTTTTCTTCTTTGGGTAATAGAATGAAGAAATACATTTTCTGCTACACAAAAATAATCATAAATGACATCCAGCATTTTATTTAAGATGGTATCTGTTGGAATAATGAATTATATATAATAATATAAAAATGTACCAACAGTATCTAGAAAGGCTGCATATCTTTTAACAATTTTACTAATTAAATTTGTTGGCCAATATATTGTTGTGTTGGATCAAAATTAAACCCTTTATGTAACTTTAATCTAACAAATATTTAATAATGTCGATGATAATTTTTATTAGGTTTTTTTGTCTCGATTATGAGTTTTGACTTCACTTCATCGCACTGAACAACGAAATCAAGTGTGCGCGCGCGCGTGTGTATATATATATATATACCCTTAAAGATATGCATGTGACGGGCACTTGATATTTTTTGTCTATTTTAGTGACGGTAGTTATGCTCCGTTTGGTATGATGAAAAAATGAATAAATAGAAAGTTAGAAGGATGAAAAGTTGAATGGATAAATAAAACATCATATTTGGTAAGGAAGGAAAATAGGAAGAATGAAAAAGTGGATGTATTAATTTTTCTTATAATTCACTAAAATCAATCCCTGCAAAATCGGAAGGAAAATGGATGTAAAGATAATTATTTGTCTTGAAATGTATCTTATTTGTCTATATATAATGTATACTTTAATTTCATATAAACATACAATGATAAAATATGTATTTATATATATATTTTTAAAAAATATTAAATTAAAAATATTTTTTTCATGTTAATTAAATGTGAAAATTTTTGACTCAACACGATGACACGAATCGAACTCGACACGAATTTTATTACACGAACTTGATTATAACTCAACATGAACTTGAAAATGACCTGACACGTGAACAAGAAAAATATAAAAGGCTCATAATTTTATGATTAAACACGAATTTGACATGACACAACTCAATTGTCACTCTTATAAAAAAATGAAAAAAAAAATTAGTTATTTTTATTTTTCATCCATTCAACCAAACACAAAGGAATGAAAGTGTATTATTCTTACTTTCCATCCTTGAAGGATAGAAAGCGTATCCCTCCTATTTTTCATTCTTTCTATTTTTCATTCTTCCTACCAAACGAAATATTAGTGTCAAAGACCAAATTGACTCAATGCTTGAACTTTGACGATAAAATTGACGAAATTAAAATTTTAGAAACGAAAGTGCAATAAATGGTTAACCTTAGGGACCATTGGTACAATTGACCTATTTTTTTAACTGTTGAGTGAGTGATCAAAACAATATGATAAAACAAAATTTTAATCCACAAAACAAATTAAATTAATCTTTTGGTAGTAGGGCGGCCTGTGTGTAAACATTTATTTGTTCAAAGAAGTAGGATGCGTTTTGTAACGTTTTCATTTTTATGCTTTTTTTTAAAAAAATAATTTTTTGTTTTTTCTGTGATAAAAATTAAAAATATGAAACATGTTTGGTAGTTATTTAAATTTAAAATATTGTGAAAACAAAAATAAAAAACATATTTGGTATTATACCAAAAATTCACCACCCAATACCACATAAATCTACCACTAAAAATTACTCAACCCTGCATTTAACCATTGAAATTCACCACCCACCACCCCCAAACCACCTGAAACCCACCACTCCCACCCCAAAAATCCACCTTGAGCCCCCCACCCCCCAAAACCCACCCCGCTCCCCCAAAAATCCATCGCCCACCCCGAAAAGCCAACCCAAACACCCTGAAAACCCCTTCTCCCCTCCAAACCCCCCCTCCCCAAACCAAAAAAAAAAACAATCCACCCTCAACTCTCGTAAAACCACAACACCCAAACTCTGAAAACCCACCCTGTGAAACCTCCTACCTCCAAAAACCACCTTGAAACCCCCTACTCTCGAAAACTATCACCCCTGAAGTTAGATAGCCTGTCAAAGCTCTTTAACGAACAGGCAGAGCCTTCGGTTGGCGATGACGAAGGCAAAACGGTAGAGCATTCAATTGGGTAGAGACATCGGTTGTAATTTGAGAAGATAGAGGACAGTTTCCTTCATTTTGATTTTTTATATTATGATAGAAAAAGAAAGGTTTTTTGTTGTTAATGAGATTTTAAGTCTAGACCTCATTAAATTAAACTCTATATCATTGGCTTGTTTTATAACATAAATGTTTTCAAAAACATCATTGTAGATGTTTTTAAAAACTGACATTGTTTTCAAAACGGATCAGCAAAAAAAAAATAATTACCAATTATATTTTTATTTATTCAAAAAATTAAAATAAAAAGATGCGGCTACCAAACGCAACCTTAGGATTTGGCGACATTGAGCGCATGCACGCAAAACTCTCTCTCTCTCTGTTTCTCTCTCTCGCGGCTATATATTCGATTAAAACGTAGACGCTATCGACACTTCCCGTCTCAGACTCTCTCATCTCAAATATCGCGCGAGCAAACTTGTATATAAATATCGTTTCCGTGATCGCCGGAGTTGGATACCGATAGACACCGAACATTGCCGGAGCTTCATTTCAGCTGATTTCTCTGTTATGCGTTGATTACTTGCAGCTCGCAATCGTGGAATCAATGAGGTTCCTGATCTTCAATCTCTCTTGTTTTTGTTGTTCAATTGCTGTTTCGTGGAATGACGATTCAATAATAAATCCAGTGTGTGGTACAAGTGAAAAGCAGCAAAATCTCTGTTCAATGAGCTTCTATTTCATTGCAAACTTCCATGTTATAGATCATATAGGTGAAGCTAACTTAATTAACTATTATTGATTGAAATTTATAATACTAATAGTTTTCTTTTTTCTTGTTCAACGGTGTCCGCCCGTGCAACTCTGCTAATCCCTCTAGTCTGTGTCCACACAGACCATCTATGTCATAACTAGGATATTTGTGGTATAAATTCCTTATGGTCTGGCTTAAGATGGTGACAAGATTTGAATTCAGGACGTCAAATCTCGTATATGTTTACCACTTGAGCTACCATTGGTTGGCTCTAGAGTTTGTTGGACTTGACCAGAAACTACCTGTTTTTTCCCCGAGAAAATTAATGATATTTTTCAGGGAAATAATTGTGTTTGAACGGAAAAGGGGGAGTTTTTGGAGGGGATGATAAATGGGGAGATAGAAATTTTGGCGAAAAGTGAGGATTGAAGACTTGATTTTTAACTCGAATGTTGCATTTGAAGCTCTTTTTTGGGTTGTCTAGAAACAAAATATAAATCTATTTTTTTGGGTGAACAATGAAAATCTCAGTCTTGCTGCGTATTGGCAGTTTAGATATGAAAAGCTGGGAGCATATCTGTGACGTCATAATAATTATGTAGGACCAACCAAAAAACAAATAAAATTGGATACAGAATTAACTCACACAACGTGGATAGCGCCTTTTCTAATGCCGAGTCACCAGATACATACAAGAAACAAACATCAACACTTTTTTTATGATGTCAATTCTTATGGTATTTGAGTTACGACAATCAGATTAAGTTCTTTATCTGTTTGCTTGGTACTAGTTAATTATGGATGTGCAGTTTTTGGTGTTAAAGATCAAGATTGTTCTTCCATCAACGTTGTTTTCTCAGATGGAGCGATATATGCAACATTAATTTGAGCTCAAATTTGTTCTCCATATGTATTTATTAATTTTTCATCTGACTAGTTAATCCTTTGTTCTTGAGGCATGTACTCTTCTTGGTCTGAACAATTGATGAGAATAAATGTCGCTTTTAATATCTTCTATATATGCGCTGACTGCAGTTGTTATGAGAATGTATAAAATCTTGCTTGCCTATGAGGGGATTCAAACCATGGAAATCGCTACTGAAGCGAAGACATGTCTTATTTGACGTGGTAAGGTTTTGTAATTATACTCATTTCTAGTCTTTTTATGCAAAATAGGTGGATAGAAGTTCTGGATACATAGAGGATTTATTCAAATTTAAAACTGTTAAAAAAGGTCCCTAACCTCATGCGCTTGGAAAAGCAGGGAACATGCGGAGTAAAGATGAAACAGCTTCCGTTCATGGGTGTTGTGTGTACAGTTATGTTGTATATTGTCTACAGAACCACAATATCAACAGACAGAGGTATGATAACACAACTAATAACTTCAATGTTGTGACTGTATGTAAGTGGCCTCATGAATATTGGGGAGTCAATTTGGAGATCCTAATACTGTTTTACAAGTAATGCCATAATTATAATTGTGTCAGGATATCTTCGGTGATGGCATTATGTTGCTGTTTACATGGGTTGCCCAATTTCTTCCGAATTAGAAAAGGCGCCTATGAATTTTCTTTTGTGCTGATGGTTTGCCTGAGAAAAACAATTCTCATCAGCTGTTAGTTTGTTGTTCAATCTAATTTCTTGGTAATACAATTTGAATTGGGACAAGAAAGATCATTTCAACAGCTAACTAGAAGCGGTTTTGTATCCTTTACTGAGGTCCATTTCTTTGTACTTTCCTCTTTGTTCCTTTTATCTTCAATTGCCTGGTGTGTCCACTTATTTGTTTTTTCCCTTTCCGATCATCAGATGGACTCAAGATTGTTTCCCTTTGACACATTAAAGGTAATAACATCAGTTGCAGCATCAGGATGACATCCGTTCTCAATTTTTTTTTTTTTGTGCTTATTTAATATCATCCTTTGGCTGAATAATACCTGAAATTTAGAACCTTGCTGTTGTCTTGGATTTACATGAACTGAATTAAATTTTCTTGGGCTTTGTTTAGATGATTTATTATATTTGCATGAGGTTGATTATATAGTGCAAATGTTCCTTACAGTAGTTGTTATTATAATTGATGCCAATGTTGCTCTTATGTACTGTTACTGCATCTGATGCTTTAATCTAGGAATCAGGTGTGCCTCCCACAAATCTGGCTGGTTTGCCTCATGTGGACTTAAAGCCTCTATGGTCGCCACGTAGTTCAAACTCAAAGGTTACATTTTCATCCTGTTGTAATCCATAATCAATGTGTAGATTTACTGGCTCGTGTACTTATTTTCTCGGATATAATTGTGCAATCATTTTGAAATGTCCTTATTTGGTCCATTCGGCTTCTTTCAATTATCAGATCAGTGTATCTAGCCCTCAAAACTTGCTGGCAATTCCGGTTGGATTTAAACAGAAGGATAATGTCGATACTATCGTTCAAAAGGTGAAACAGTTTATCACTGTTTGATGTTCGAAAGTTATCAGAGTTCCTTAATGTTTGACACGTCATAGTGTGATCTTCGCCTAACTTTAGCGAATTCAGTTTCTTCCAGATAATTTTATGATCGTTTTATTCCACTATGATGGCAATGTGAATGGCTGGTGGGACCTCGATTGGAGTAAGAAGGCCATACATATTGTTGCACAGAACCAAGCAAAATGGTAAATTGATTGTTTATAGTTGTGATTCTTGGTGGAATTATCAAAGGGCAAGTCCTTGTGTTGGCCTTTTTTCCATGAACATTTTTTCTTTGGGATTTTTCTAATTCTACTTGATTTGAAAACAAAAATTAATCGTTATATGGAGTCATTGCAGTAACAATGTTTTACTTTTCAGGTGGTTCGCCAAACGTTTTCTGATGTTTTCTTCATCTGGAGAAGAATTCCTCATACAAACAATTCTACATTGCGGCATTTCGGTGAATTCGAAGTATGCTTATTTATTCGGAAAACTATCAGACGTTGTAACATAAGTAAATATGAGTTGCTGGGTTGGTGGATATAAGTATAAATGAGTTGCTGGGTTGCTTGAGGGAGAGTGTATCGGAGAGAGAAATAGAGAGAGGAGGGAGCGGGAAAAAGAGTTACTGTATAAGATAGGAAGATAAAGTTAAAAGGGGAAATTGGAGTATCCATTAGTTAGTTAGTATGACATAAAAGAAGCGGGTTACACGAAATATAGGAGTGTCAGAAAAATTGGGTGTATACCCGGTTTGAACCTGATTTTAATATCCAGGTTGAATTCGACAACTTAAGGCTATTCGAATTCAATTTGAATTGAGATTTTTTGGCCCAGGTCCAACTTAAATATTAAAAATTCTAACCCAAATTTTACTTTTTTTTCGGTTGAACTCGAATTGAATTTAAGTTCGCCCATCCAAATTGTACCCTACGAGCAATTTAAAATGACAACCCATTCCACAGTTTAATTTTACTCCTTCAGGGTGTCAATTTTTGGCTCGAACACTAACACAAACACAAACCCAACTTGAATCGAACCCAACACGAACTTGAAAAAAACACAATTTGTTGACACGAGTAATAAATGGGTCAGATTAAGGTTCAACACAAATAACACGATTAATGAGTACTGTAGATAAAAAATAATTATTTAATGAGTATTTTAGATAAAAAAAAATAAGAATTTTATAATTTTTTAAATAATATTATATTAGTTGTTGTCAAATTAAATAATTTTTTTTTAACACAAATATTAATACAAACTCGACACATACCGAAAATGACACGACACAAAATTAACGGGTCACGGCACGATTGACACCCTTCGGCATATTTAACCTTCCAGATTCTTACCCGGAATAGCCTTCCAGATTAAGGCATTAGATGCGGAACTTATATTAAACTGGATGTTTCAGCTGTGATTATGGTGTTTTGTTTATTTATTCACTCCATAAGATTCATAGCTTCTCTCTTCTCAGGTACTTGGAAATTGTGAAATCAGGAGGACTGGAGATATCTCAACCATCTTTAGACCCAAATTCTATTGGTATACATCACAAGATTACAATACGAAAAAGAACAAAGAAGTTTCACACGTGAGTTTACTGGGTTCTGCTATCATTCTTTCAAATTTCCCCATTTGGGTTCTGTTGGTGCTTACACTAGCATACTCTTTAATGAGCAGAAGAATCTACGATGTCAGAGGCAGTGCGAAGTGTTCGGATACTAGTGAGGAGCCACCATGCACTGGGTTAGTTAGCATATCCCTATTATGGGCGTTATTATCTTCCATCTTCTCAACCCTTTTAAGTTTTTTTCCTTCATTCTTGTTTATTTTCTTCTAACTTGATTATTAATCTAATGTTAACATTTTGTTTATTCCTCCTAATTCCCATCTGTCACATGTTAGCCATGTCACGAATACTTGTAAATCTTAAGACGTATCTATTGCAGATCGGAAAGACCTTTTAATTTTACAAGAAGCCCAATGATTTCCAAGTCAATCATTTTCAATATTTGATGGAATTTTTTTTCACTTTATCATCGTGTGTAAAAACGAGTTGAACTCTTATGTTTGCAGCTTTGTGGAAGGAATGGCTCCAGTCTTTTCAAGATCTGCTTGGCATTGTGTTTGGCATCTTATACAGGTAATTGTAGACTAGTTCTTCCTTCCCAATCTCTTATTTCTTAAAAGCTGACAGCTGAGGCTCTCATTTTATTTATTTTCATGGAGATGGAACCAAATGTGATTCGTGTATATCGACATTTTTGACAATAATCTCATAGTTGTCCGTTTGAAGCTTTCAATTGGAATGCTATTGCAACTGATCAACCTGCTTTTAATAATTATGGTTAGAGAAAATTGGTTAACTTCTTAATCATGCTATATTTCATGTAGATTATTCAGAATAAGTACTATGTTAAGTCCCCCTACATAAAATGAAAACCTTTTGTAGGTAGATTTTACCTTTCAAGTGAACACTGTGGCGTTAAATAAGTTTTAGACGGGGATTTTGTTCAGGGAAATTCTATGCATACCAAAACTTTTACTAAAAAGTGTTTTTACTAAATGAGTTGGCAGCTCCAGATCACTTTTGGACCCACTAAATGCTAATCAAAATGTTTTGATTGGATATGGAATTGCCAACTCATTTGGTAAAAATAGTTTTTGGTATAAGTTTTGGTAAGTATAGCATTACGTCAGTGCTGAATTTCATGTGTTTCTTGTGGAAATTGACTCGTGATTGCAGGTATTAACTTTAGAGTACCTCCAGCCAAGTTCTTGAAGTTATAATGATATTGTTGTCATTTTCCCTTTCCATTTTTACTGGAACAAGAAGAAAATGGCCCATTTTGAAGTTTTTATTTTTTATTTTTCCCAATTGTGTTCTATTGAAAAACTTCTACCATATATGCTAGAGTGTTTTTTGGATAAGATCAATTTTGATTTTCAACGTGTTAGAAATCGAGTCTCTAGTTCAATATTTTTGTAATTATACTCTAGTACAGATAAGATGTATAAATTGTATGAAGAGATATCTCCTATTGATCTATCGCTCACAATTTTTTTATTGACTTGCTTTTCTACTTCAACAAATCTTAATAAAGCTGTCAGAATGATCTTGTTCGTGGATGGGGAATGGACATGAAACTTGGGTTTTGTACACAGGTAAGATATATTTGTTCTGCTTTTAATATAAACCTCATCATAATCAGAAACACTTTCAACAAATTGTACTGATTGGCATGAATTCCATGTCCATGATCTACTCCTCCAATAGTGGAATTCAGATTCTATTAATCCAGGGATGGGATCCTAAGTTTCATTACATAAGTGGGGATATTACCTGAAAAAGATTCTATGGTAAGGGTATTAGGTGTTGAAACTGTATTCAGCTTAGATTGTTTCCAACTCAGAGAGCTTCGCTCTTTGTTTTTCCATTGTCTTACACTTGGTGTTTAATCTTGAACAATAGGTTAGGAACATTTTTTCATAGCAAATTATGCGTTCAATTTAGTGACTTCAAATTTTATGTTACGAATTTTCATTTCAGAATAATAAATAGTCGTAATACTTGTGTTTACATTCTCTAATTCTCGATAAAACTTGGCTATTGCAGGGTGACCGAATACAGAAAGTGGGAGTTGTTGATAGTGAATATATCGTTCACCAGAGTATACAAACATTGGGTGGGACATCTGCGAAAAAGGTCATTTCCCCCATATAACCTCTTTATTTCTTGTTTAATTTCCGTTATCAGTTGTCTTCTCTATTTATTTTCTCTGCTACTGTCACATTCCATGCTTACGTGGCTTCTATTGGGTTGGCTTAATTTTTCAACTAGTGTGCCTCTTAAGTGTGTTTGTCTTCCTGTGTTTTATTAATTTTTTTTTCTCCAATTAAGTAATCACCGTCTCATGCTGTGTGTGCTGTTTATGCATGTTCTTCGGGTGTATATTAAAGCTTGATTGGGAATAGAATCTTCACTCACACACTGAAATGAAAGTATTGAGGGGTCAAGCCTATTTTTTTTCCGAATGTTATTCTCTCTCCTTTTCTTGCCTAGTTATGAGTTGCTATTGTCACCCTCATGATAAAATTACATCAAAAACTTGAGATACATACAAAAACTTTGATCTTTGCCAAAAGAAAGTGTTGACATTGCCAAATGTGGCCGGTAGTTTTTATGCCAATTATTGGATTTTTCGTATGTTCTAGAGTCTTGCATCAAATCAACTTCTTGTTGCTTATAATGATCTGGCTGTTGCTTCAATCAAATAGTAATGCAAAGTTAAATAGCTGGTTTAGAGTATCATGGTAGTAGTTCTGAATAGACTCTGGGTTTTGGGGTAAAATTGCCTACATCTAACCCTCTCTAAACCCCGCAACGACGGATAAGCCCTTTTATCTACTTGTTCTCAATATTTACTACATTGTTTTCTTCTGATTTTCAGGAACATACTGTTGATGCACGAACTGAGGTAAGGACCTGCAATATGCTCGCTGCAAACAAGTCGGTATTCTTTCGAAAATACCTCTCAAATTTGGCAAAATGCCAAATCTAGAAAAATTGTATGCTTAATCATGCCTAATTGTGTGGCAGCCCAAAGGTAAGTTTTGCATAAAAACAAAACTTAGGGCATCCCTTTGAGTTGAAATTTAATTTTGGCTATAGAATTCCCGGTAACTAAATCAAACCAAACTAAGTCTCGTGTGATAATCATTTGGGATTGACTATATGAGTCCGTCTTCGCCATTCATTTCGATCATGCGTTATACGCACATTTAAGTTAAATATTTTTATATCTTTTCTTATTATTTCGTTCAATGTTAATTTAGGTTTACTCCTACTTCTAGTTTCATTAAGAGAAATTCAATCATTTTTTCTAACCAATGACTCTATCAGCCTACGTTAAGCATGAATAAACCATCTTAATCTATTCTCTCTCAACTTATCTTTAATTGGAGCTATTCTTACCATATCTCTAATATGATCATTTCATATGCTATTCTTTCGAGTTTTTTCACACATCTACCTTAACAATTTCATTTCGTTCAAACCTGTTCCGTTTAAATCGGAGGTGGACTATACGAATTGCACAGTGGACGAATACGGGAATACCCATATAAACCCATATAGAGATGGACCGAAACTCATTCCTGTGCTGCCCCCTCCCCACCCCGCCCCTCCTCACCCCGGTAAACTCTCTCTCTCTCTCTCTATATATATATATATATGTATATATATATATATATAAAACAAATCCCATCCACCCACCTACTTTTCATTTATTATACACATTATTTTTATGAGTTTTTATATTTGATCATTTTTTATTTAATGAGTTTTTATCCTTCTTATAAATCCATTTGTGAGATTTTATGATTTTTTTTTTAAAATCATAAAAATTAATGAGGATGATGGCGGGGGAACGAGGATCAAAATTTATCCGCCAGATAAAAACGGGGATTAAAATTTTTACCCTCACGGTCCCTGGTCCATTGTCATCCCTAATGATCAAATTGCTTACCTTTATTTATATGGATTGTGCAGATTAGGAGGCAATCGACGTCAGAGCTTCGTATATTCAAAGAGCGCTGGGAACAAGCAGTGGAGGAGGACAAGGGGTGGGTTTATCCATTCAGAAGCAAGCGAAGATGGAAGCGATGAGGCTTTCAAGGCAGCTGAGTCCTTCGCCTAAGAGGTCCCCACATTAGAAGGGCCCCCAATAAATATTACTTAACTCTAGGAAATTTAAAATATAAAAACTCGTTAAATAAAAATGAAATTGAACTAATTCCAAAAATGTCATAACCAAGTAATGTTTTACAAATATAAATTTTCATATTTGCCTCTCTATTAATGACTCTTTTAAAAGTTGCCACTCTTCTATAAATATAAAAATATTACAGTCACTCACGGTCCTATTCTTTCTCTCTCAATTAGCGTTGTAAAAGGCTGCTAAAAGGCTAAAACTACCAAAATTACATACACAAAAATAAAGTCGTACATTCCCATTGTCCTACGCTCTCTCTATTTTTTTTTTTTTTCTGATTAAGTGGATGTATCTTTTATTATGAAGGTTTTTTTTTTATTAGTTATTATGAAGGTTAGTGTGGATATTTGAATTGTTGAAATACAAAGTTCTTAAGACAGTAACAATAATAGTGAGACAATAATAATAACATAAGACAATGATATTGAGACAATAACAATAACAACTATAGTGAATTTTTGGTATGCATTTGAAAGTATATCACTCTTATTTTTCATTATTTTATTTTTTTATTCATCCAATCAAACACACCATTAGTCTTTATTTTCAAAGTTATTTGGGCCATTGTTCGAATTTATAGACAAATTGTAAATGTATCTTCATGCTTGTTCTAGTGCTACGAAGCCTCCAGATTACACTCAACAAACTCAATTTAAGCTAGTTTTTATTTTTTTCAATTTGAGATCGATTTTCAGATCCAGAAGTAATTTATCACCTCAATCCAATATTTATAATAATTGAAGATATTTTTTGCTCGACAGCTGAGATCTCGCAAAGCAAAGACAATTTTAGTACCGGAAGAGCAATTCTAGAAGATCAAAAGACAAAAATTTTCACTTTTTTTTTTTCGGCAGGGGCGAATGGGGATTTCCAAGTGAAAATTGGAAAAAAATAAAATAAATGTCCCCAACTTCATGGAAAAGACTTAGGGCCCTGTTTGGTTTGCGTTTTCAAAAAATAGTATCCAAAAATAATTTTTGGAAAGAGTTTTAAGTAAGTATTTTTGAAAATTTTTAGATTACAAACCTGTTTGGTTATATATTTTTGAAAATAATTTTAAAAAACAAAAATTATAAAATCAGTTTGGACAATAATCACAATTCCCACCTCTCTTTCTTTTCCCTCTCTTTGTCTCCACAAAAAACAATCACACACACACAAACAAACACACACACACACACACACACAATATACATGTAGACACACAGATCTGGAGTTGTTGCGAGAGAGAGAGAGAGAGAGAGAGAGAGAGAGAGAGAGAGAGAGAGAGAGAGGCTAGGCAATGACGGCGCTGGAGAAGAAAAAAAAAAAGAAGACGTTGGGCAATGAAAATAGAGAGGAAAAAAAAAGAAGAAGAAGAAGGCACTAGGCAAAGTGGAGAGAGGGGGAGGAAAAAAAAAGAAGAAGAAGACATTTTGTTGCTAAGGGGACTCGAAGGACAGACCTCATTTAACTTGTTTAGCTTATCTCTGTGTTTTTAAAATTTTTAAAGAAAACTGTGAAAAAAAGTTTTAGTTGTTTTATGTTTTTGTGCTCTAAATCTCATTTTTTTTTTGAAAATTTTGAGAACAAAAATATTAAACAAACAGTGTTTTTGGTATTTTTAAAATTTTGAGAAAAAAAAACTGTTTTGTAGATGATAACCAATCACGCCCTAAAATTTTTGTTTTTGTTTTTGTTTTTGTTTCCTCCCTGCCTGGATTGAATTTGCACAAATTTCACGGTTAGTTTAATGAAAAAATAAGAAAAATGCAATGGTAGCATGAAATGTGGTGGGTGGAACCCAACTTTCTAATACTATAATCTGTTGGATTAGGTAGTGGAATATAGGACTGTCCAATTGCACTTGGAGATGAAGCTTATAAAAACTTATCTACACTCGACCTAATCATTTTTTTTTTTTTTGGTTTTGGGGGGGGGGGGGGGGGGTAGGGTAGGTAAGTTGAATGAATTTTTAGGGTTCATGGTAAGAGAAAAAAAATAAAAAGTTGATATATTTTTTTATTGTAAAAAAAAAAGGGGGTTGAGATGGTTTTTTTTAAGTTTTGGATCATTTTACGTACATTTCGATTAATTTTTTTTTGATCCAATTAAAGATAAATTATCTATACCAAATCTAAGGTGTTGATGAAAATAAATCCCACGTAATCTGATTTAAAATAATTATTAAAATTTAAATTTAAAACACCTAAATTTATAATTTGTCCGTTACCGCTTGGACTAAAAGTTTCATATCTCCGTCGTCCACGACGTGATTATTGAAACTCTAGAAGGGTTGACCAGGGAAAATCTCATACTTTTTATTATCGCAAGGCAACCGTGACAGTTTGTATAAAAAAACAAATTAACCCATATACACCTTGTTAATTAAACAAATACAAATCATAAAATTAAACCCTTGTTATCTGTTAATTCTATAAAACAAAAAATTTGAAATTAAAAGTCTTAATTTTATAAAAATATTTAATCATCTATTAAACTAATAATTAAATAATTTACTGATAAACGAGTAATTAAATAATATATCGATTTATTAAACAAGAGATAAATAAGTTAAGCTACTCCACCCTAATACAACTCATTTATTACGTGTATTAGGCTGGCCCTCTAATTTAATTTATAGATAATGGGATGTGAGTATTTTTTCGACTTTAAATTTATAGAAAACTTATTTGACTTTAAATACCACCTCCAAATTTATTCTCCTTTAAGTCTTCTTTTTCATCAAATAGTTATCAATAAGTATACATTTTAAAACATTTTTAAATTCTTTTTAAAATATATTTTATAATTACTCCTACCATAAATAGTGCATACCTACTTGAATGTAAAACTTTCAATATTTATTTTGATATTCGTATATGTATACACACACACACACATATATATATATATGTACATACACACACGTAATACAGTAATATCAAAAAGTGACACGTTCAACAAAAATATAGTAACATCAAACAGTGATACATGCAACAAAAAAAGAGTAACATCAAACAGTAACACGCTCAACAAAAATATTTGTGTTACTGTTTGATATTACTATTTTTTTATTGAGTGTGTTATTGTTTGATGTTACTATTTTTTTGTTGAGTGTGTTACTGTTTGATTTTATTCTTTTATTGTTGAGCATGTCACTGTTTGATGTTATTATTTTTTTGTTGAGCGTGTCACTATATTACGTGTATGTGTCTATATATACATGAAATTTCAAAATTTAAATAATACACAAATATCAAAAGAAATTTTGAAAGTCTCACGTTCAATTAAGTATGCACTATTTATGGTAGAGATAAATGGGATTTTATGACTTTTTTTAGCATATGTATTTCTATCTCAATTTTGAGAGGTATCGGCTTCCCTAAGCTCCTTTAATTTATCACACAAGTCCATTAAGATCAAATTAATTTTGTTTTAAAGAGACAAAAAAATAAAAACCAAAAAAAAAAGGAAATAGAAAAAAGAAAGAAAGTTCAACTTGGATGGCAGTCATTACCAAACAAAGTCGTCCATTTTCAATTGTAATAAACTGGCTACGGACAGGTCTACTTTCTCTCTCTAGATTTTCTTCCACTTTTTTCTCCCTCATACGTAGTAGAGAAAATTCTCTGTTTTGAATTTCTTCTCTGCCAAACTTTCCTCTCATTCTGCATCACTATTTAGATCTTATATTCGTGTTTTCTCTCTGAAATTCTGTGATCTTGAACCCAACTGCTGACCTTAGCTTACTCAATGGCCGGCCGTTACGATCCCAACCCTTTCGCCGAAGAAGACGAAGTTAACCCCTTTGCTGTGAGTTCCTCTCTCTCTCTCTCTCTGTATATATATATATTATGTATGTTGTAGTTTGCAGTATCGGTGGATATATAGGTAAAGTTGAGGGTAATCCCGATTTTATCGGTTTCTGGATATGTAACTTCAAGTTGATTCTATAGATTTTTTCGAAATTTCGAAGTTCTTGGGTTTAAGTTATATGATTGGTGGAGCTGTTGAATTGGACTATATGATTGATTATGCAGTTTGGTTGACTGAATTGTTGGATCTGGTTTCTATGGTTTTGGATAGTTTTGAAATTTTCAATTCTCGCTTTCTTTGTTTGCAATTTATATTTTTGTCCTCAAATCTAGTTGACCTTAATGTAAAATTATTGTTGACTCTGGTTGATTCTGGTGTTCAGTGCATTTGTTTGTTTTTCCCTACCAGATTTTGGGCCTCTGTGATAGTGAGTCAGTGAAGCTTCCTTATGTACATAATTGTGTATCTGGTAAAAAGTTCTTTACATTTTTCAAAACATACGTGGAATTAAGGATACATTGAAAAGAAAATTGCTTGAGAAATGTTGGAAGATGTTTTCTTAGGGTTGTCCATTTTGTCTAAGATTTGACAAACCTGTATTTAACTCTCCTATAAGCGGGGAAAAGAGAAAATTTTGGGAAGAAATCATAGCGTTAATGTTTACATATTTCAAATGAATGAGACGGTAGTTATATACCTTGAGAAACTTTGTGATTTTATATGCCATCTTTTGTATAATTCATGGATTAGTTGTGAGGGTACTTGTTGGTTTTCAGTAATCTTCTAAAAAATTTCTCTCTCTCTCTCTCTCTCTCTCCATATCTGTCTGTCTCTCTCGTCTTTCCCTCTAGTGGTCATTTTGTTGTGCACTTAAGCATGTAGCTTTTGATTAAGAGAATGTTCTACCTAGAGAAAGTTTTGTTGTTGAATCATATTATTAAATGTGGCTTACATTGTGGTTCTCCCCTCTCATACTAAGTACGAGCTCCTTTGATTCTCTCTGTGTTCCCGTATACTTACAACTGCACAAAATCATACTTTGAATTGGTGGAGAAATTGTCACCTTAATTCAACTGAGTTAGTATGTCAAACAGTGCACATTTAGATGTCTCATCTACGAAGGGGCGAGGAATTATCTTGATGATGCTTTATTGACCTTTTTAAGTCGATGGTTGTGTTTTCATATGTGTCAAAGGTGGAAACTATATGGAATCTCTTTTTCACGATACTTTTCAAGGTTTCTGTGCTATTTGAAGTTGCTAGACATGAATCTGGACTGCATTTGCTGAACTTACTGCCAAATATACCTTTTTTTCCGCATCCAGGACCCAGCAGTTAGGGGGAAAGCATCTGGGCAGTCGAAATTTGGCGGAGGTGCATTTTATACATCTGTAAGGGCAGTGTTCCTTTACTTCTTTAAATTGTCACAGCAACGACAAGTTCTTCAAATTTTTATGTTGTATGTCATTATGAAAGAGAAATTTATGCTATTTGTTGGCCATGTCAATTAGAATGATTTGTGCTCTTTTTTATTTATTTATTAAAGACCAGCATGTGTAGAAGCATCTGCTATTTGTTAGTTGGTGTTTCTTTTGGTGCAAGGAGTGAGTAATATTAATTTTATGCTTTTGTTGTCAAGTTGCATATTAGACAATTCTAGAGCAACTGGTGACGTGTATCCTTAAGAAGACATACTGCAATTGTAAGCTGCCATATATTGACCATTATTTCTCTAGCAGTAGTGGCAAAGTACTTATATTTTGAGGCATTTTTCTTTGAAAAGCTGCTTCTGTATTCTTTTTGACTTGGTTGAAGACCTGGATAGATTATTAAAGCAGAAATCCATTCTTACGTTCTCCTCCATCATTTGATGTACCTTGCTGTTCATGTGGAAATGATAACCATCAGCAGGCACACTTGATATGCTGTTTTATTTCCTAATGACTTTGTGAAATGGGGTGTGTGGCTTGGTTAAGATTGTGCTGCAGTTCCATCTTTTTCACTTGTGTGAGTGCATATGCCCTCACCCACGTTTTCTTGTTGTGGCTTGCTTTTTGAGCGGAGAAAGAGAAATATGATATGATACTGAACTACCATGCATTTGCTAGTGATGCAGTAAAATTCTCAAATCTACTGTAAGTTGTTGTTTAGAGTAATTTAACTAATTTCCAGCAATAAGATAATGGGGAAAAACATGAGTATTAAGGATGGAACAAGAATATATGAATTTCTAGGCAAATAGATCCAAGAAAGACTGGAATTCTGAATTTCCACGAATTACAATAAGAAGACTGCATACAAAGGCTTACAAAGTGAATCTATACTATGCGACAGATGTAGCACCATAGCCCTTGATCACTTCAATAATGCTTTAATCCAAGTCCTGCAAGAAACTTAAGTCACTGGATTATGTTTTGAAAGACTGGGAGCATAAACACTATCTATAAGATGCACATAAAACATAAAATGCTGCAGAGGAATAGAAAGATAACTCAAAAATCAGTAACCAGAGCCAAAGTCTATTAGTGGGTCTGCTTGCTCTTGATTAGCCTCTTAGATGCTCCTACTTCAGCTTGGAATGGAGAACACACACTATAACTTTTTAGCTTAGTAAGTGTTCCTATAAGTAGCTTGTTATATGTCAGTTCATTGAGGCTTATTTATAAAGTTTTTTAGTGATATATATAATTGTATAGAACTTCAAGGTTCACCAAGAAAATCAGGAGTTTCTTTCTAGGACAGCTTTGTACCAATTTGTTTATTTATTTCACTTACCTAAGTCACTGGGATTTTGACTTCTCCTGGTTTTAAGCAGAAGAAAAAAGTCATACTGTTGTTAATTTTTTTCCATTGTTATGAGGGTTATACATTATGTCAAATATAATAAATGAGTCTCCTAATATTATTTTGATAATGCATCGAGTCCCTTAAGTGCGTACTGATGTCTGCATTATAATATCTTATGACAATGGACTAGAGCTGCCGTTTATTATTTTGTTTTTCCAGTATATACAATCCTGAAATTCCTATAGGTTTACTAATATATTATTAATTTAGGGATGTGTAATTTTATGTCTTTTTAATCTTTCTGTTTATCACCACAATGCATTATGGAGTTCTTTTGTTGTATGTTGATGGTTTGACTTCTTACTACTTGCATGTGACGACTGTTTTTCAGAGTGCTGGCACTGTTCCTTCTGCCACAAACTCAAGGCTTTCACCTCTTCCTCCTGAACCTGCAGATTTCTATGATCGTAATGCCCCAATTGATATTCCACTTGATACAGCTTCGGTAGGTGCCAATTTGGAATCAATTAAAATGCAGTTCGTGTTTTTCGTCCGTATCTTCACCTTTCATAGTATTTCAGTCTCTCTAATTTGAAGTCTACTTTGTAGGATTTGAAGAAGAAAGAGAGAGAACTCCAAGCTAAGGAAGCTGAATTGAGAAAGAGAGAACAGGTACGCCTGGTGGAAATTCTCGTGTTATAGATATTTGCGTGTGCTTTCCTTTTGGCCTCGGGGATATGTACATACAGGAATAAATTTTTTACTCTGTTGGTTTTCACGACTATCCTCGGCATGACTTGCCAAAATATTTTCCTCATGTGTCCATCAGTTTACTATGATTTAGCGGGGATTCAAGAAACCCCCAAGGGTTGTGTTTAGCCCTTGGGACTCCACTGCACAGAAAATCTTAAGTATAAACAAATAAAAAGAAAAAGAAGAGTCAGAAGATGCCCTAATAAATCTTCACATGATGCATGTTTTTTGAATGAGTATTACTGTTTCAAGCATCACAATCTGTGATGCTGTTTTGTGGTTGTTGCCAACGGGTACTGGTCAACCATGCATGTCGCAATGATAAAATGAAAGCTATTTGTGAATGAGTTTCAGAAAACAAATTATGAAGATCATTGTAGTATGCAGTCTAGGGAGCAGTTTCTTCAGTCAAAAAGTTGTGTGTGTTGATTTACGTTAATTTATGGTGGCTGTGTTATATGAAGCACCAGTTTTTCCAACCTTAACATTTCGGATTTTTTGTCCAAATGTATGATTTTCTTTTAGAATGCTTACTTACTTTGTAACAAAGTTGACACAAGCGAGGATCCATGAATTGATTTAAGGTGCCCAGTGACGCTGGTCTTTGTCTTTGTCTTTTTTCAATGTCTTTTTTCTTTTTTTGGTGATTAGTGGACTTTTTGCAACGTAGCCCATTTTGATATGGCTAGATGAATTCTATTTCTGATTCCCACTTTTTCTAGAGCTTTGATCAAATGCTACACTACTACATCTTTCCCTGCCAGCTCAATTAATATTCATTCTAGTATCTTCTTTCGGTCTCGGATAAATGTGCCCTTATGTTACTTTCTTATTTGTCGTCTGATGCTATGCAGGAAGTAAGACGGAAAGAAGAGGCTGCGGCACGAGGTATTTTTCCTTGGTCTGTGTTTTTCCCCAATTTCTTGTTGGCCCTTCCCCTGTGATATATTAAGCACTTGCAGCTCTTCCTCCTCCTCCTTATCAAGTAGATAGTACAATATGTGTTCATGCCGTAAAAAGACACAGGAGAGAATACAAATTCAGTTTCCTTGGTGTCTAATTTCCCATAAGCTGAGTGGTAACTTACTGAGTTTTCCTTTTGTGCAGCTGGTATTGTTCTTGAGGAGAAAAATTGGCCTCCATTTTGCCCTATCATCCATCATGATATCGCCAATGAAATACCAATTCATCTGCAGAGGTTGCAGTATGTTGCATTTACAACATTGTTGGGTACGTCAACTTTTGCTTAACTATATGGAAGTTTCATATGTTTCTCATTTTCAAAAGTTGAGCTCTACCTACATGCAACCCTTGGTATACATAAGAATCTTAGTACTTGTTAATATAGCGCAAGTTGGTGAAGTCAGTTCCATTTTCTAGTTCTGGCTGTCATGGGTGAACATTTAAGAGAATGTCTTTCCTTAACTGCAGTTGCAGCATCTTGGTACTTTTTCCTTCCACAATTGTTTGTCTTAAAATAATATCTGTTTATGTGGGTACGAGGGTGGTTGTGTTTGGAGTCATTTTTAAATGTTGACCTCTACTATTTTTTTTCCTGCATATCTTCAAGCAACAATCAAAGTTATCTTGAATAGCAGCTGTACCAATTTTTTAATTACTTTCTATGCTTCTGAAACATTCCTTACGAGGTTTTCTGCCCTGATTCCTGTGAAACATGGCCACTGCAGGACTAGAAACCTTCATGCTTAAATCCAAAATTTGTAGCCAGGCATATAACTTGTATTTCCTTTTTTTACCTTTTATTTTGTTAAGAGATCAGAATGGAAAACCAATTATGGAAACATGAAGCCCCTGGACTGGCATAATTATTTTCACTTTTATATTACTCGAGTAGTCATGTACTATTGCATAGTACATGATGCCAGATACAAGGAGATAATAAAGAACTTATCTCTACACCGTTGAGCAACTACATTGTGAGTTCGATATACCTATACTGAATTTTCTGCCATATCCAGTCAAGATATGTTGTTTTGCTACAATAAGTGGAATAGGGCAACTAACATGCCCCATTCATCATAACATTAGTTGGGAGAGAGGAGGCAATTTGCAACAAAAAAGTTGTTTTGTAACTTGTAAGATACACTGGGTTGAATGTTATGTAATCATTTAATTGTTTAGCATTTATATCTTCAAAGCTGCTTCCATGTAAGCCTCTGAAGATCAACTCCACTAAGAGTATATAAATGCTGATATTGAGCAGGATTGTTTGGGTGTCTTCTCTGGAATATTATAGCCACTACCGCAGCATGGATTAAAGGAGGAGGTTTGTTTGGAATAATTTATGATTTATCTATATGCCATTTCTGTTTATGTCTTTCACTGTTGGCTTTGAAGTCCTCTGAAGATTGTCTTTTTCTGTAGACCCAAAAATCTGGTTCCTTGCTATCATCTACTTCATTGCGGGGGTTCCAGGAGCCTATGTGTTGTGGTATCGTCCACTATATCGGGCATTCAGGTAGATATATTTATTTGCAATCGATTTGTCCATGGATTGTTAAGCAGATGTATTCTGAATCATATGGAGCATGTGTTAAGATCCCGGATGGTCTCCATGATGTTAATTTAATTGAATGGTCTGGGTGAAACCTTATCTTGACGACTCTGGGCTGAAGACACGGGATTAGTTTTCTTGTATGACTGGAATGTCATGTACTGTCATTGAAGTTATCTGGATGAATTCTGAACATTTCTACTTATCTGATTGTCATCATAGTGAGATTTGAGTCATGTATTTTATAGATCACCTTGACAAGAGGCCATCATGTGGTTCTGTCAACTGTGTTTATGCCTTGAGTTTGGTTGCTGTGCCCAACAAATTTTTATTTTGTTAACATCACTATGTTTGTTACAGGTCTGAGAGTGCTATAAAATTTGGGTGGTTTTTCCTGTTTTACTTGGTAAGTTTCCATATTCTCGATTTTCTGGGATCTATTTAAACAATCATAGCTGATTCTTCATTTCTTTCCCCTTGCCCACAGCTTCACATTGGCTTCTGCATTTTTGCTGCGGTTGCTCCTCCTATAGTTTTCAAAGGAAAATCTCTCACGTGAGCTCCTTTCTTACAGTTGCACTGTTGTAAATAAGTAATCCAACCTGGAAAATGTCTGAGTATTAATTTCCTTGTTAGCTTATTAGACTTCCCTCTCTATTCCAATTATTTTGAGGCAGTTATTCATCAGAGATGGATTTTGTTGGCTTTAATTTCTCCACGTCTTGTAGCATGTTCTTGAGCTTTGAATCTTCTTGAAATATATCTGCAATACAAGTGCATTTATACCCTGCTAATGATTTGGCTTTGCGTGGTCCTTTTTAACAGCGGTATACTGCCTGCAGTAGATCTAATCAGCGGCAAAGCATTAGTTGGGGTAAGTTTGATCCCTGTTGCCCATGTTTTTTTTTTTTGGGGGGGGGGGGGCATGTATATTTGTATATGCCCACATTATTTTGCTATCTATTTGGTTGATGTTGAAGTTATAGCAGCCTAGTTTATTAGGGTTTATTAGAGGGTGATATGGATGCTATCAGTTGAGATAAATAGGGTATTGGAATCTATTAATTTTTTTATCTTATTTATGCGCAATGTTGAGGAATGGGAGTTTATAATCACTAGACCACAATGCACATTAAGCACCATAATTTTCCTTGTAACCATGCTAATTGATTTTCCTATTGCTTAGATCTTCTACTTCATTGGATTCGGCATGTTCTGTCTCGAGTCAGTGCTCAGCGTCTGGGTTATTCAGGTCTAAATTTTAACTCAATCTGATTCCTATACTTCAAGAACTGTGAAAAATTGCTGCAGGCACCATGGCCTCTCACTCTTTTGGTCTGTTCACTTTGTTCATCTCCCATTTTGCAGCAAGTATACATGTACTTCCGAGGCAGTGGCAAAGCTGCAGAGATGAAGCGCGAGGCTGCAAGAGGAGCCTTGAGAGCGGCAATATGACGCTGTCCTGACTGAACAAAGCCATTGAGTGGTTGGGTTTGGTGTGCTTCAGGCAACGAAGAGTGAGAGTGAGCGTATAGAAACTGTTTTCTTGAGATGGGTACTTTCGATACATATTTTGTGTGTTCATTCTTTGTCATATGTATGTTGTTTACCATGGTTTAATCAGAACACATCGAGGGAACAGCTGTTCAATAGAAACTAAATAGAAGTATATCTGCTGTATTTAGGTACTGATTGTCTGTAAATCGGTGTTGTTGACATGTTGATTTGCCTGAGATTCATTTCGGTTTCATCGTTAGAGACCATAAATTCTATGTTCCAAGTTTGATTTGGTACAGTTTATGACCCTCGTGGCTTTACTTTTAAACGTTCCGACACAAAAGAGCGTTGATAATAACAGGACGTGGGAGACGTAAGTTATAGATAATTTTATTCTTATGCAGCGAAAATTAACTCTCAAGATTCGAATCTATGAGATGATATAGAGTGGGGGCGAGAGCACAATTTTTAAAAAATAGGATTTGGAAGTCCATAACCATCAAATTTCAATGATCAAAACCCAAACTGGTTTCTTATTGCGCATAGTGGTGGATGAATGAATGGCATGGTGGATCATCTGGATAACGTGTCATGTGGATGATTACGACAAGGTCTTAATACTTTTTTATAGGCAAGACTATCGGATCAACCCGTGATGGTTTTTTTTTTTGAGCAGCAACCCACACGGTTCACTTATGAAATAAACCTGCATATTCAATTTTTTTCACTATGGATTACAAAATTTATCTTCAAATATCGTGTTAATACCTCTTTCTGAATTGTAGTCTTTTTTTTTAATTTAACAGTCATAAGTGTCCGAACCAGTTTAATCGTATTTTAACTAATCTTTTTCTCAATCTGTTAAAATTAAATTATTCACACCGAAATTAAAATATTTATGAGAGATAAATACCTATCCTCAAAGAAATATCAAGATCACAAAAAATTATAAATATTTAAACTCATGATATCTCAATTTTTAACTCGTTTTTGTTATCACAATACTAACCCTAAATAAACATCACAAGGACAACAATTCTCTCAGACAATTTCCAATTTATTTAAATCCCATGAGGATATATATAGGATAAAAGCACTAAATGCTTAGAGAAAAACCTTAACAACAAGCATCATAATTACTACTTAAGTTTACATTAACTTTGCCAAACAACCAAACCATCACAGGCCATACATATATAATACATATATAAGAAACTACAACAAGCTACAAGCTCAGAGCTCAATTCAACAGTAAGCAACACATTTCTTCTTGCAGTCAATGGTGCAACCACCACCGCCGCCGCCGCCGCCGTAGCCCTTCCCGGAACGGCTATAAGAAGTGAAGCACTTGGCCGGACACGTCAGCTTCTTCTTGTAACATGGACCCTTTTCTTTACACACCACAGTAGGCCTTACCACACCACCTTTGGAGTACCCTCCACTCGGACCCCCATATCCACCTCCATACCCGCCACCAATTCCGTTACCCCACCCGTTTCCATTTCCCAATCCGGGTATGTCAAACCCGCCACCTGGCCCGAAGAACCCACCCATCCCACCACCATCATTTCCACCACCTTTGTTGCTGCCGCCGCCTCCGTTGCTGCTTTGGCCTTTGTCTTTGGAGGCCTTTGGCTGGTTTTGGGAGGACCCGGTTGGTTCGGGTCGGGTGGCAAAGGAGAGAGAGGCTGCGGTGAGCAAGAAAGCTAAGAGGAAAAGTGTTAAGGTCTTCATTTTGGAGAGATCGAGAGGTTGTAGAGAGTGATGTTGAGGTCAGAAAGAGTGTGAGGAGAATACTTAAGTACTGGTTAGAGGGACGCGGTGGGAGAAGCAATTAAGAGAGAGAGAGAGAGAGAGAGAGAGAGAGAGAGAAGTAGATGGCAGTTGAGGGGGTTTGCATGAGAGGTAGGGTTAGGTTGGGTGCAATAACTGCACAGTGCACAGACTTAAAAAAGTAGCAGAGGTTCGTAGTGGATGGATATGTACAACGAGTGCGTGCGGAGCCCACCTCCTTTCGGTGATTATGTATTATACAAAAATGTTATTTTGCCTCTGAAAATTGACACTAGTTTCTAATTCTATCACTTATAGTGTGTATTTTGGTGTAAAATTATATGTGTATGTATTTTGATGTAATAGTGTGTGTGTTTATTTTGTTGTCGTTGTGCGTGTGTGATTTATGGGTTAACGTGTTTAATCTAACCCGTTATAAATCTAATCCATTTATTATGTGAGTAAAAAATGAATTTGATTTATTTTAATCCAACCCATAATCAACCTAATCCACCCATTTACCACCTGTACTCATAGTCATTGAACAGGAAATAAATTCTAAAAAATACTAAAAATCACATTTAAATCGATGACAATGATTCATGTGGTCAATAAATAGTCTCAACTATTAAAGTCCAAATACCATTGCTCCGTATAGAGTATCTCCGGCATTTGTCCCTTTTTATACCATTTTTTAAAAAAGGGTAAAAAACTCTTAAAAACTTTCACCTATGTTGGACCGAGATCAATATCATACTAAATGAAGGAAAATTATTTTTTAAATTAAAATTAAAGGAGACTCAAATCTTTATCTTTTTTACCAATAGTGAGATTATACCATCATTTAAAAATTTAACAAGTCAAATTTACCCTCTTTTAAATTTAGATTTGTCCTCATTTAAATTTGAATTTCTCTTCCTTTAAATTTGGGTTTTTCGTTGAAGAAGTTTATATCAAATCAAATTTTTTACCATTTTTTTATTCAAATTTGGGTAAGGGGTTAAGTATGCATTAGAAATGGTCTTATATATCTCGATGGTTATGAATTTTTGTGGGCCTCACAATAATTCTATTAAATCACATTATTGTCATATTATTAGATCAACTAATTATATCAATTTTTTAGATTTCAATGACATCACTCTTGAATTAATAGTGAATCGCAGTCGATATTTGAATTTATTTTCAATCCAAAGACAATAATTCATTAGGACAACAAAAAAATAGATGGACAACCCAAATAACCTTCCTCGAAAAATATAAGAGACATATAGGCTAGAAGAAGTGTGTTCAAAGTGTGGATAGCCAGTAGGAAGGTTTACTTGCATAAAATTTTGGACTTTGGAAAAATTGAAAAAAAAATAATATAGGACCTTATGGATTGTATTGACAATAATGATAATATGAATTGTATTACACTCTTCAAGAGAAAAGTTTGGCCCCTTTGGCGAGCTAACAAATTATGTTACTGAGCAGTAAAGCATTACGGGGTTCAGGGCGGAGGCAGAAACAAATTTTAGAGTTGACACACTAGTATATTTTAATTTTTTTTTAACATACTGTAGTGGTTCATAAATTTATATTTATTAAAATTATATTTAATACTTTTTAAACATAGAAGATTAACAAGAATAAAAAAATAATAATTAAAATTTTTTATCGAGAATGCGACTAATTATTATTATTTACAATTGACCCTAGTATGTTTTCGTTATTCGAAAGAGTTACAAATTAATTTAATCAACAATATTTTTTTCATATAGAAAATCACGGTAACAATCTTCTATTTATGATCCTATAGTTTACTATATCACGAGACACATTTTTATACAACAATGAAATAACCCTACAATTTTAAAAAACTATAATTAACATCAATATGTTTAAAACATATTCGAGCATGCCTAAAAGTTAACAATTATATTAGTTGTACTTAATTTGAGATATAATTGATGAAGACCCTATAGTTTGTGACCATTGGATAGATAGTAGAGTTTATTAAATATTAAAACTTATTATTATATTTAATATCACAATATATTATGTCTTTAAATTATGTTTTAATAACGTCGTTTAAAAAGTTAACAATCATTTAAGTAGAGATTTATTTAAATTAATATCACCAGACATAATATTAGAGTGAACATAATTAAATATATCTAAATTTTATTTCAAAAAATATATGCTTAATATGAAGCGAAAAAAATTGAGGGGGGCATGTGCCCACCCTAACCCAAGCATGGCTCCGCCCTAGCTAGGTTTGTTAATGGTTCAGATGTCAATTCTAATTAGACCCAAGTGAAATTGATTGGATGCATTTTTACTATTAACTGATAATCTAAATCTAAATTAGTTTGTCATATTTTATGAATTAGTTATAGTACGGTAAACGGTGGTAGTAGTAGGGGTGGGGATAAAAATGATAAGGTCATAGTTCAAGAGTACATAACCGTGACAATGACATTGGGGTGGTGGAGTGGAGATTGTATTAGTGGTTGTGGGAGGTGGGGTGATTACTGTGGTGGCGGCAGTGGTTGTGGTAACATGGCAGCCGGGGTGATGGTGAGGTGGAGATAGAGGAGGCTGGTACAGAGCTAGGACAGAAGATTGATCGGTATCAAAATGAAAAAAAAAAAATTCATCAATCATACATAGTTTATAAAAGCTTAATTTAATCTACATAATTATACTGAGTAATAAGTAGAGAGCCATCTAAATTGATTTGTTTTTGTTTTTTCTTTTAGGGAATTCGGATATTGAGGATAAATGTAAAATCCACACAATATATATACAAAAAAAAACAACATATGTACAACTTTAAATATAATACATGTATAGATTCAGAATCGAGTTTTCTAATCGCATTCAAATTTAAATCGATTGAAATCCGATTGATAAACTTTAACAGTGAGATAGGGCCCTAGAAGGGATTGTCACAACCTCTAGGGCTAGCCCACTATTTCCTCTACCTCTCTTGGAGGGCCATTTTGAGGCCAGTTTTCTCCACCCTCTAGTTATCTCTCTCCCCGTAAAGCATTACAAGTTTGTATATAGTTTTAGCCTGCTACCACACCACCAAAGAAGTCGATTTGTGTCGTGTTATTTTTGTGTCGTGTTTTTATTAATATTCATAAAAAATAATAATGATAAATTATTCAATATATTATAAGTGTTAAACATTAATCCAGTTTACTTATTATACATATTTATTAATCGTGTTAATTTTAGAATCACGTTGTTGGGTTAAATTGACACCCCTAAAATTCAGTCAGACAAAACACACCACATGCATTAAAAAAAGGGGAGGGCCGACCACTGTCCAAAATTGGCATTAAATTCAGGCATATGGGGTCTATTCATATTTTCATTAAAATATTGACAGTTGAACACTTGCATTGGCATTTATTCTCATGAAGTTGGTGTACAAATTGATATGAACACAGCTATTTTGTACCAGATGGAGAGAAGAAACCCTACTTGCTAATAAATGTGTAGATTCATTTAAGTCAAAGTTGTCCGTTTTTCTCCAAGCAATTAAGAAGAACGTTGAATATGTGGTTGGGGGTACATGTTTGAATCACCGTTAGCAATATGTGTCGTATTGTGATTAGATTGTATCGTGTCAAAAATTACTTAACTCTTGATCAATTTATATTTGTTTATAGTTGAGTTCATATCAAATTCATTAATGAAGGAAGGCTCGAAAGGTCAATCTAATTATGATCCTAATCTATTCAATTATTTTAAATTAAATTGACAGATCGTGTTAAAAATTATAATCTCCGTAAGTAACCCTTTCAAACCCATAGTACCATAGTCAATCCTTTAATTATTAGAAGATGATGTTAGCTTGGTCAACCTCATTAAATGTTCCAGAAACTTGATCTGCAACTCTTATGAAGTCAATAAATAAAGAAATTGATATTTGTACTTAAAGAATTAATAGATTTGTAGACTTAATGACTCATAAGAAGCTGAGTTCTAATAAATATTGAGATCCATCAACGATAAAGTGAAATTTTCAAGTCTGTGTAATTGTGACATTCATCGCCACAACAACTTTTGAGCCATTAATTGCAGGTTGTGGAGCTTTAACAAGTCCAACCATTGTCTTTTCGGATATGGCTGAATCAAGCCGCGGTATTCAGCCCGTGGCCCAGACAATATTGCTACACGGTGACCTTATTAGTCCGATGAACAAGGGCTTGGGCTTTCTTTTGGGCCGATGGATAGGTACACTTGACTTCACTTCAGCACTGTATGCACAGTATGTGTGTGTGTGTGAGAGAGAGAGAGAGGAAGAAGAAGACACCAGCAACAATAGACATAAGAAGCAAAAGAAAAGAGTCTCACTTCATATGCAAACGGTTCTCAATATACCCACCACTCTTAGATACAATGATCGTTGGGTTCAATTCAAACACACACACGCAGAGACAAAAACATCTTATTCTCTCTCCAAAAATGACCAAAACTGAGCAGCTGCAGAACGACTTCTGAGAGAGAAGACAGCAGCCACAGAGTGAGCCAAACCCAAAACTATACCGGCCTTCACTTGACCCCTCTTCGGCATCGGACGGCCAGAAAACTTTTCTGATGAACTCAATCCATTCATAATTTCCCTCCCTTTGACTGCCACATATATATATACCTTTCTCTTCTAAGCAGATTAACCTCTCAAAAGAAAAGATTTACTGAAGCAGTAAAGCAATGACTAGAGAGAGAGAGTTAGGTTTGGTAGGGTGAGAGTGAATGCGGTGGTGTGTGTATACTGTATACCATATATATTATATAGTATATATATATATATATAGAGGGACCTGAATTAGGAAAGTGCCTTTGGATTAAAGTTATTCTTTTTGGAGGGTTCAATGGTATTGGGTCAGGGGTCCATCCTTCAAAGTGGTTTGAAGGGTGGTCATAAGGCACCATAAATCAAATCTTGACCCCACAAAGATTGTATAAGCATGTGTTGCCAAATGAATGAGATAGATTTAGATGTGGGTGGTCCAGTATGTTTTATAAGCATGTGTTGCCGAATGAATAAGATAAGTTTTGATGTGGGTGGTCCAGTATGTTTTAAAAT